GAGGATGCATTGCAAAAATGTGATTGATGTCTTTAAAGCCAAATTAAGGGGAGTTCTTAGATCAAAAATGGGTTACTGTTTTTTGTCAGAGTGTCTGACACAGCCACTCATGGCTCCCAAGAATTCCTAGACTGGGTATGGGGTCATATTGTGAATGCCTCACTGCATAATGACTTGAGTCCAGTGAAATCTCATTAGGGTTAAGAGTATTTCAGGGATCCTTAATATTTTGATTTTTGTTTTCTGAAATTGGATTTTATTTCATTTTATCTTATAATTTCAGTTCATCTAAATTTTGTGTTCTCTACATGTGATGTTTGGCTGTACCATTGACTGTTATGCAAGTTCAGCGTCGTATGTCTCTCTCTACACTGTGGTGCACTTAACTTGTGGATTTTTTATACTAAAAATGTAGAATAAAGAATATTTTGAAGATTTGAAGAAAAAAAAATCATGAATGCCTGAAATGTAGGAAATCCAACATTATCCCTTTTGATACCCAAAATAACACAGCCTGCAGAAGACAGACTTAGCTCCAGCTTACAGAAGAAGAAATTGAGGGTTTATACAAATACTAATACAATCAGAATTTAATCTCAGTCTGCCTGACTCCAAAAATGTGTGGCCATATTCAGGAGACTCTGCTGTCCAAATCCTTCCCAACCATGACAGATGTGACCACCCCATAGCAAAAAGCCATGAAGACTCAACACCCACCAGTCCTCTGACCTTGGACAATTTGCTCATCTTCCCTAAGCCTCATTTTCCTTATCTGAAAACAGGAATGGTAACAACACCAACCTTATATATTTGTGATAATGATTTGTTATTAAGAGGTTAGCAAATGCTGGTGTATGCAAAGCATCTCATAAACGTTAGTTACTATCGTTATTATTGCTGATATTAATAAGACACTTCCAGACTTTTAGGCTGATGCTGTGGACCATCCTGGTCAGGTCAAGCTTGAGAAATGATCCGAGCTGAGACTCCACCTTGGAAGAGGGCATCAGGACTTCTGCTAGGAATGTCTGGGACAAGCAGGGTCTGGCCAGAAGCTCCTTAGACACTACCCAGAGACAGGAGAACATAACCAGGGCTCTGTCACCAGTCTGCCTGGGACTTGTTACCTAACTTCTTTGTGCCTCAGTTTCCCCATCTGTGAAATGGAAGTAATGACAATAGTTACCTCACAGGATGACATGGTAAGGTTTATGTGTTAGCTACTTTTACTGGATCTTTTCTCTCTGAGGAAGCTGGTAGCTATGGCAGTGGTGTTTGCTCAGAAGACCCTGGCACTGGACCAAGACCTCAGTGCCTCCAAACACCCTTGGTACCTATTGTGAGCACAGCTGACCCTATAAAACACTAACCGTGAGTCCCTGGGCTCAGCTATAAACCAATTCTAAAAACACTGCCCTGAGAAGGACTAGCAGCCTTAGGGGTCACTTAGAGGTCACGTGACAAAGGGCTTTGCATCCAACCATCACATCCAGTGGGACTTTTCTAATGTCCTGTTTGTTCCCTTTCCTTTTTCAGAGGACCCACCTTTCTTAAAGAAAAAAAAATTTAACCCCAAGCATTTCTTAATTTCTGCAAGTCTCTTTTTCTCCTGTTATTCTGCTGATCTCTATACAGGTATACTTAAAGATGTTCAATTATGAGAAACAGTGAACACAAACGGAATCAATAGACCTTGAAGAGTTCTGCCAGCAACCCTAAATAGGAAGTAAGAAAAGGATCAAAGACGCTGGCAGGGGAAATAACTTTATTCATGGTGATGGTTGATCCCCAGAGGTAACTAGAACATTTATCCTCTTCTAAACTTCATGAGCAGTTCTCCCAATCAGTAGGGGGAAAAAAAATTCCACAGCAGAAGAAATCAAAGAGCCATTAGTTTGGGGACAGAGGCTGTTGGAAAGAGTAAGACTGACCACCAAGGAGGTGGCCCAGGTTCCCCTGCAGCTTCTGGTATGAGCTCAGTATCTCCTCAACAGTTGTGGCCACACTACCTTGAATGAATAAGTAGATGGTTGGGAGTTTCTAGGGAAGTACTGCTGGCCTTTCTACATGACTCTGATCATGTTAGAAGAGTGGAGTTTCCCAGGTACCTGTCAGAGGGGGCAGGTAGGGGTGTGTGTGGTCCTGGCAGTGGGACCCCAACAAAGGCTGTGGTCCATGAAGCTGCAACTGGCAGGTGACTCAGCCGCTTCAGCCTCACATTCAGAGGCAGAGAGTTGTGATTTTCAGGCTGCTGTCCCTTGAGCTGAGCCCAGGGATGCACGGTTAGTGAGCCATGGGCACCCTTCTGGCTTCCTTGTGCCCCACAAAAATCTGCACTGAGACTGAATACTATCTCTCAGAAAACAAATTATTTTTAATAATTCATCGGCTTACTGGGAGGTGTAGAGTCCCAGTAGGACACCAAGGCCATCCGGAGGAAGAGACAGAAGATTCCCGGCAGGCTGCATTGCAGATCTGAGGACTGAGCAGTGCCACAGAGAAAGCAAGTCCCGAAGAGAGAGGAGACTCCCGAAATTAACCGTGGTTCTTGAAACCACAGGGCAAGTCACATTCCTTGGCTTTCGTCTCGACATCCATGTTTGTCCCCAGTCTAGCCTAGTGTCTTCATGTTAGCCCTAGCCCTCACTTTGAACATTAAAACTATATTTGATTGGTTGTCTTCATTGCTTAAAACCCTTCAGTGAGTGTTGTCAAGTTCAGGTGCAAGACTCTCAGCATGCCTATAATTTTTAACACCATGCCTATGATGGGCCTCCACCTCCTTGGCCTCTTCTTCTGATATGGCCCTCTTGCTCTTGACCTAATATCCAGTCACACTGAATGTCTTGCCCCAGGATATTTGCCCACACCACTCCCTCCACCTGGAATGCTGCTCTTTACCTGCCTGGTGAATTTCTTTTCTTTCAAATCTCAGCCCTCCCTGCCTCAAGTGGTTTAATCCCTCCTGTTCCATGCCCCCATCACCCCCTGTAGGTTTTCTTTACCACACTTATCCCCACTATACTTATCAGTGTGAGTATCTGTTTAACCTCTGCCTTCCTCCCAAGACTGAACTACCCAACGTCTGGCACAGAGTAGATGCCCAATAAATGTCTTTGAGGGAATAACTAAATAAAGAAATGAATGGATCAACTGTAAGACTTACTTAAGGTTGTACAACCCGAATCCCAATTTAGGCCCATTTAAGCCAAAGCTTATCTTCTAAATAATTATTTTTACTTGCAGTTTAAAATTCCCTTGAATCTATGATTTATCCTATCCATTGCAAGATTCTCCAAAGAAAAGAAAAATTACATCTATACAGTTAGAAGAGAAGTATTGAGTAGGCCAAGAGTCTAGGTTTCCAAGAGGCGAGAGGTCTGGGTGGCCTGTTGGAAAGGCAGGGAAAGCTCAAGGACCAAGGGCATATCACCAGGGAGGATGTAGCCTGACCCTGCCCGGCTGCCTCTGGGGAGCCGATCTAAGTTCAGATCAGTCCTTGTGAGCAGACCTGCATGAAGCCCATCAAGGCAGGAGTGACTGCAGTAAAGATTCTCAGCCAAGTCTCAGCCTACATTAGGAAAAGGAGTCCCTTCCTCAAGACATTCCTGCCCCCTGTTGAAAACCAGCTAATCCTACAGGACACCTCAAGGCCAGTGATGTGTGGGCACCCCCTGGAGCTGTGTGCAGAAGCCCTGATGGACCAGAGACCCATTAAATAGGGTCTTGATTAAAACCATGAGCAAATTTGGGAAATGCCTAGCAGTGCTGCTTTGCAAAAAAGTCTGCACTGGTGTGACTCCCAGGAGAAAATGTGTAGCGTAATCCTCCCAGCCCACTGGAGGCTCGCCCCAGCCCTCTGGCCATGCCTCCCTTCTCTCCCTGCCTAGTGCTGCATCTTTCAACAGCACACTGAGCAAAACCTCAGGCTCCTTCATTCCTCTGTCCCTTAAACATTTAATGCACACCAATCCTGCAACAGGATATACACTGGAACAGAACAGAAACTGGGGAAACAGAAATGAACAATGCATTCTTTTCCTCCACTGGGGTGTGGGGGTGGAGCGGGGAGCCGAACTGCTTTGTGCTTTGCAGTGCTGCTGGGCTGCTGGAAGCTGCCAGGGTAATCAAGTTTGCAAGTGTCTGAAAAGGAGAGCAGGAGGGTGTTGCTCGAAGGTCACTCCTTCATCTGGACCCTCTCTCGTGGGTGACAGAATCTTATAGAAACTCTGATCTCTTCCCAGGTTAAAATTCAGTCTTGCTTACTTTCAGCCACATAGATTCTTCCAGCCCCTCCAAGGGTTGGTGGCTGCTGGGTGAGGGATCTAGTCCTCCCTCCAGCAGGCCAGGTGCTCACCTCTACTCATGCTCTAGTGATATGGCCTGCTGGCTTCTGGAGTTGATTACCTGAGGCAAGACTGCCTGAGCACCCATGCAGGGTAGGGGGCATGTCCTGGAGAACTCACTGCTCATAACTCCTTAGCCCAGCAGCACCTTCCATACAGTCACCCCTTGTGGCTGGCTCACTGGGGTAAAGGAATGAAGAGACCCAAACTCACAAGCAGGTCCCTCAGTGCTATTTTCTAGAAGGCAATGAAAAAGAACGAACTGTTACCAAACAGAAATGAGCCATCTGACTTCTGCAGTCTGCCTGTCAGTAGTCAGTCCTTATAGAGCTCACAGCACACGGAACTGCCTGGGTGCTGGGAAAAGACAGACAACACAGGGCCATCTTTGAGGATGGTGGGCTTCCCACCCACCGAACCCCCACCCAGTATGTTCATTCTAGCACCTCTTGATAAACAGAATTGATGCTCAGGAACCTTTGCACTTGAGCATTTATTTATTTATTTATTTTTATTATAA